AAATAACTAAACTGACCAAAGTAATTGGCATAAATAAAACAAATGAAAATGGAATGGGTAAAAATGATCAAACCCTAACCTAATATTTTGCTGCACAAGCTTTAGAGGCAATCCCTGCAAACAAGCGATTTCTGTAGCTCTCAATAAGACTTTCACAGCTGCCAACAGGTAGATTTACCAGGTAGTGGCTTCTCTAGGCTGCAGGTTTCAGCTCTTTCCACAAATGTTCTATAGGAGTGAGATCAGTGCTCATAGAAAGCCATTTCACAACAGTCCTATGTTTTGTTCTTAGTCATTGCTGGGTGCTTTTAGCTTTGTGTTTTGGGGGGACCCATGAGCTTCGACTGCAATAGAGCTTTCGGACACTGGACAGCATGTTCTGTTCCAGAAACACAGCAAAGCAGCCCCAAAACAATAACCAAACCTCCTCCATGTTTAAGAGTAGGTACAGTGTTTTGTTTTCCTTTGAAAGTTTCCTTTAAGAACATAGAGTTGACGTGACTTCCCAAAATGCTCCGGTTTGGTCTCATCTGTCCAAAGGACATTCTCCCAGAAGCATTGCGGTTTGTAAATATGCATAGTAAATTCCAGTCTGGCTTTTTTATGTTTTTCTTTCAACATTAGAAACTTTCTTTTGCCCACTGTTGATCAAAAAGGTGAATGGAACGATCAGACACAGATGTACCTTGACCTTGAATTTCAGCTTGCATCTCTTTGTAAGTTTGCCTTGGCGGTTTGTCTACCATTTGCTTTCCTTCTTTTCAATCTGGAGTCGATTTTCCAGGATGGTTGGTTGGCTACACTCCCAGGGACCTTAAACTACTTAATATTTGCAACTGAAGTTTGAAGCTGCTTGGATATGGTCTTATAGCCTTACCTTTGACATGCTGGTCTTTAATTTTCTTTCCGATTAATCGAACTTAATAATCGGCTAACTAATCGATTTTGAAAATAATCGTTAGCTGCAGCTCTACATGCTGGTCTATAATTTTCTATCTCATCATACAACTCTCCTTTGCTTTCTCTGGTCCATGGTCAGTGTGGTACACATGATGATACCAAACAACTACTTTTCTCTATTTAAATAGGCTAATTGACTAATTACAAGATTGAAGACATGTTAGTAATTACAGAAATCAAAATAAATCCACAACACTTACCCCTCAGATTCCTCAGTCAGATCCATATTATGAGGAACTTCCAAGTGCTGGCAAAAGGCTCGCTTCCACCTGTATGAATTTGTGTCTAAAAAGAGCCGCACTCACTCAATGATTCCTCCAAATAAATCCAAATTTTATTTTAATCCATGGAACAGCTTACACCTTCCAAATCTCCAAAAGAAACTCTCTCCTGAGAAATCAAGTTTTAAATGTCACTACAGTCCAATTATTTATAATCTATCTTAGGGGTCCCAACAAATCTGTCCAGGCCATTTTAGAACATCTTTGCAGAATAAGAAGTTGTCTCTTTTCACACTTTACTGACGTCACTGCTTTACTCTGTGACATACCAAAAGGCATGCCGGTATACATGAGACAGCTACTATTAATTTGATCACTTACTCAGTAGGAACGTAGCATTGTTTCAATGAGCTGTGAGGGTACCAACAAATTTGTCCATGGCTGTTCCTTCACATCTTGTTCTAATGACAACTCAAAAATCCCTTTCGAATGCATCTTACTTTAGTTTTGGATGGGGAGGGGGGGGGAAATAGTTATGTGTTCAAACCCCGTCAAGTGTTTATTGCAACAATTGACCCCCTCTATTTGTCCAAGGGACCACTGTTACTGAGACCCCAAACAAGAAAAAATCCAACATTTCACATTTACATCACTTTCCAAAAAAGTACCCATTATGCATTTCAGCTTTACCCTAGCCTGCCTATTAAACATCTAAAGCAGGCAACCCTCCCTCACCATTGAATGAGCAGCCCCATCAGTGCAGCAATGAGCGCTCAGGGTCGTTCAGAACTGGACTCTTCAACGAGCCAGAGTGTTGGTTCTAGAGCTGCAGCTAACGATTATTTTCAAAATCGATTAGTTAGCCGATTATTAAGTTCGATTAATCGGATAAACTATAAAATAAAGTTTAAAAATGGCTCCAGTGATGGACTACTAGTTTGTATTGAGGTTGTAGTCCATCACAGGAGCAAGCTTGGACCGGTGGAAGTAAAAAAGAAAAAAAATAGATAGTGTGGTGTGCAATATAGTGAAATGGAAAGTGTAAAATTATACAGCAATGCATGCAGAATGGCAACGGCTATAGAGGACTACAAAACCCAGCAAAAGCACATTATACAGCACAATGCAGAATACCGCCAGCTATAGAGGAATACAACAAATCCCGGCAATAGTACATAATAGCTGGCGGCATTCTGCATTGCGCTGTATAATGTACTATTGCTGGGTTTTGTAGTCCTCTATAGCTAGTGGTATTTAGCATTGTACCACTTTATAATGTATTATTGCTGGGATTTGTTGTACTCTTCTACAGCTGGTGGTATTCTGCATTGCGCTGTATAATGTATTATTGCTGGGACTTGTAGTCCTCTATACAGCGCAATGCAGAATATCACCAGCTATAGAGGAGTACAACAAATCCCAGCAATACATTATACATACAGTGTATAATGTATTGCTGGGATTTGTATTCCTATGTATAATATACAGCACAATGTACCATCAGCTATAGAGAAATACAAATCCCAGCAATACATTATAGAGCACCATGTGTGGGAAAGTGCAGGCTTACCTGAGCAGTCTTCCAGCAACTTGCTTCTGAGATCGGACCTGTCTATCAGCGGCTGTCATCCCCCCACCCCTGCTCCTCCTTACTACATCTCCCCGCGTGCCTTGCCGATCGTGGATGGGCAGGAAATGTGAGGCGGGGAGGAGGTGCGGCGTGTGGAGCGTGGATGTGAGCGGGTCTGGCAGTGGCGAGCGTGAGGTGAGGAGGAGGTGCGGCGCACACGTGTGGACTCTTGTTAGGGGCGGGTCCCTGAAGATGGCGGACGCAGCACATTGAAAAAGTTGACAACTTTTTCAATAATCGATTATAATCGATTATGTCGATTAGTTGTTGCAGCCCTAGTTGGTTCTGCACTGATGGGGGTCTCATGACTGGCAGGATGGAAAGGTGGGTGGCAGAAGGGCCAATCTAAAGGCTTGTTCCAGAACACTACGTCCAGAACAGTTTGTTCCCGGACCAAAAAAGCATCCCAATGTATCCCTATGGTATTTCTGGGCTCTGTTAACACCAGCACAGTTCGTTTAGGACCAGACAGAAAAAAAATACTGCTGGTCTCATTTTCTCTGGTCTGCAAATGCATTGAAACGCACATTTTAAGCAAAGCAAAAAAAAAAAGAAAAAACCCGCTCCAGAACACAGAAAAATTGTGGTAAAAGCGTAGCAAAAATCCATGCACTGCGTTCCAGATCTGGTTCGGAAAATGGTGTGAACCTGGCCTAAAGGTTTTACAGGCAGGCTGGAAAGAGGCTGTGCAGGGCCTACAGGTATACCTTGCTCATGCAAACTCTGCGCACTGCATGCTCTCTTCCTCTGTCACACAAGGCTGAGCTCAGCTACTACTGCAACAGAGGGGAAAAGTGTGCACTACATATGCAAAGGTAGTCAACGAGCCAGAGCACTTGTTCCTGCGTTGATTGGACTGTGCATCAAAGGTAAGCATGTCCTGCCATTTAGGTAGGATGGGGAGGCTTGTCCACCTTAGAAATTGTACAGACAGACCCAGGAGAGGCCGCGTTCAACATACAGGTATACCGTGCACCATGGCTCATTCAAACCGTGAGCAGTGCATGGTTTCTCCCTCTGTCACACAAGTTTGAGCTCAGCTGGTACTGTGATAAAGGGGGTGATAAGAGCGCACAGCTTGTGAATGAGCCAAAGCACTTGTTCCTGCACTGATGCTGCGCATCCACTGACCAGCATGACTACTTTGTAATATACTGCAGAAGCCGGTATGCTTAATAGGATTATCACACTTTTGTAAAGGTGAACTAACCCTCATTCACACCAAGCATTTTGTAAAGCTCAAAACACCCCCCCCCCCAATTTCATTTTTATGCGCCATTTC